TTACTTCGTGAGATCCATAATTGGTCAGACTGCTCGTTTAGAGCGATGTTGCGTTCAGTAACTTACGTGAGATAAACGCGTTGACGCCACAGGGAAGTTGAATTATGCTAATTTATCCGACATGGGTCCCCACGCGACGTATACAACGCGTGTAAACTATATTGTTACAAATGTACTCTACCCGGTACGTAACTTTCAAAAAACAGTTAAAATAATCCCGGGGACAAGTGCAAGGTCACGGGTAATGAATTGTTTGTTGTAATTGATGGACTGATTTATTATTAGATAAACGAACGTAAAGTAGTGCCACAGTCGTCGTGTAGGGCGCTTTCGAATATGTATTTAACACGCGTTGCCTGGGAGCCGCTTAGTAACGCTTTTATAGTTTTTCACAATGATACATGCATGGTACATGCGCGTGTCCACTTGGTTTAGGCCGTGGTTGAACTGCCCCATTTATTCAGATTATGTCAGCAACCCTGACTTTGACAATGAATCGAACATCGTGACTAGCTAACATCGATTGACGAATAGCTGCCTGTGTCAGGGTTTATTGTTCACTTTGTGATTTATAAGCCAAGCGAACACTCGACTATATAAGCCAGTACACTTATTGTAAGTCTCTGTTTCTATTATAAGTGACTGCAGCGTGGAATACACAGATTTCGAATCGATCGCGAGATCTAGTACTGGTCACGAATACTGTTCAGGTTTCAGGCAATTGTCGAAAACGAAGCGTATTTCGAGTATTATTGGCGACTATTCACAGTACTAGTTTTTTTTTTTTTTAGTAAACGAGTCACTCCGAGTACCGAATACTTCTCTTGATCATGACAGTTACCATGCCAATATCACAATAATCTGTACCCTCAGACCAACGCGAACTTAAGCGTATACTATTCAAAACGATTCTCTGATACATTTGCATAAAATGAATGAAATAAAATATAACTTTCAAAGACACCTCGGCGATATTGCCGGTTGTTGTTCTCACGAAAATGTCGTGTTTTGAAGATGTTGGGAAAATTAAAATTACTAGTAACCTGACTGAACTCGAGTCACAAGGTGCCTTTCACAAGAATGCTTTTTTTTTTTTTTTTTTGAGTCAGCGAGATTCCCAGTTGGCACTGAACTACTTATGCGCTGAGAGACTGCGACTGCACTGCGTAAGGACACTGGTTTGTTTTCACGCAATCACGTGACTATTTAATGCATGATGATTGGGTGTAGGCTTGGAGGTGTATTTTCATTTGAAAATTTGATATATATATATAAAGACTCTGGAACAGTGTCACCTTTTCGAGTGAGTGTAGTAAGGGGATCTATAATTTAAGCATACATTATTGAAATTATCAATATAGTCTGCAAAGTGAAATATAAATTGTTGGCCGTCTGTTTACGGGTGTGAGTCTGAAGGTGCTGCCGTCACACCCCCGGCATTTTAAATGGCAGCCTACCCTCCAGGCATATTACCTTCAAATATATTGACATTATTCACTGTTGCAATGTAATATGACAGCCACTATGACATATTAATGACGTTCAATTTCGGGACCCCTCATTTGTTTTCACCATTCTGTATAAAGGTCAAACATTAACTGAAGCGCGTCGGACAGAACATAGTTATTTTCTCTATGTGATCACGTGCCTAAGTGATTTAGTGTCGGCGTTTTGTTTCACCTGAGGGAACAAAACAGTATTTACGCGTGTATGGTTTGGTAAATACGTGCATTTGTCATTGCGAGACAGCTAGTGCGACCTTTCACCGACTAAAGTAGTGACCCTGGATCAAGTATGATTGTCCCCAAACTATTTTAGTAATGTTCATATACTTGTTTGCAATTAAAAAAATCTCATCACGAACAATTATTTTTTGAAAAAGATAATTTAATGATATTTGTTTTGTGTTGTGATGTTTCGGACAATATTTATATATAGTAGTATTTGCTAGCATAATCGCTTATATCAGGAAGTACTATTTTGCATATATAATGAGCGTGAAGTATACTTGAATAAGAGCTCGCCATGTTCATTACATCCCACAATTTTTGTTACATCATAATTCATATACACGTAAAAGACATGATGTTTACGTGTGGACATGTGCTTCAGTTTTAATCGTATACATACATTTTGTTTTTTTAGAAATACTGGCTATTGCTGTTGCTATCTTTCCAAGCTTCGATCAGGTTATTTTGAAATGGATTGAAAACATCACACTTTACAAAGACGACGTTTATTTATCAATCACAATAGAGACGAAAATTCAAAGATACCGTTACCAGGAAATGACGTACTCGGGAAATGTCCCATACGTGTGAGACATTTTGCAAAATACGTGTGCATCCGAATCTGTTTGTAATAAAAGGGGGACTACTACATGAACTTACTGGACGAGATAGGCAAACAAAGCTCGACGCGGGTTTAGAAGTAGTGCACGTAATAGGGTCAAAGAAATGTCACTGTGCTTGCATACTTTCTTCGAGAAACATCCGTGTGTAGTTTTTATTTCTTTCAGAGCATGCGCAGACGCGGAACACACACTATGTCGGCAATAAAACAGCATTCCCGGTTGGATGCTCTCGGCCTCTTCCCCAAAAAATATACACAAATTAGTTAGAATGCTATAATCACGTCCTTTTTCACCAACACAATTATAAATAAACTAAAACTATCTTTCCTAACATCTTGATTCCGACATACAAAGTAGACCTAGCCCGAACTTAGGGGTGTGTCATTGTTCATATGTGTGCGTGTGAGAGTACAAATTTATTATTCTGAGCAATTGGTCAAAGTTTTTTTTCTTCACTGGAACACAGCCCTTTTTACACAGTATTAATTTCTCTGCATAAACAGAATTTCTGGTTCTATTAAGTACACCCCCGCTGGATTAATGGTTCATCCTTCGCGCTTTTCTGTGCCTTAAAGCGCGGTGGTCGTCGCGCAGCACGTGTTCGAATTTCATGCAAATAAACAATGTATTTTACACGCGTTGTATACGTCGCTATGAGTCCCATATCGAACAGGACGCGGCGCGACGACTGCCGCCCGTTAAATCAGCGACGACGTTTTTCAATCACTAATACATGAAGGCACTTGTCAGCCGTCAATTGGACTGGCTTTTGCAATTATATAACAACATATCGTTGGTACACGAGTCGTTTTGTAGCATTTGTATGTCACCTAGCTCTCACCCTTCCCTCCCATATTCTAATTTGACACGATAACGCATGATTAGATCAGCCATTCACTGCCACTGATTTGAGACAAGTTGTTGGCATTACCGCGGTTTTTGCAGTGACACCATGGTTACGAAAATTAGCGCAGTGACAAAGGGGGCATCAACTTTCACGCGTTTCAATGAACTCTCCCGAGCCGATGACGTCACACCACAACTAAACGCAAACACAACCCGAGGTTTCTCTCGGATTTTAAAACGAAGGGTTAATACAAACACAATTGATAATTAGTAATTAGATAAAAAAAAATACTGAAATAAATTAAAAAGTATTAGTATTAAGTCAAAGTTCAACGGCGAGCCACTGAGCAGTCAATGGAGGATAGCGATAACGAACAACCATTCATAGCGTCACCGTGAACGTCATAGCGTTTGTTATTGACTTTTCCAATATGCAAATGATCCCAGTCAGTGGCACACCGATCAATTCAAATCGAGCTGTGTTCATAATGCGTGTAAACATGATAAACTGTTACACAGCTGGCGGGCACGGTGCAAGATAATAGAGCGTCAATAACAGGTCAATGCATAATTAAGTCGTATGATTGACAGGCCCGACAAATACTGGAAATGTTAAATCGTGAAATGAACGGAATTTATGATATTTTCATACATTCACCGGCCGAAACTCTGAGTTGATTTTCACTGACTAATGAGCAATATCGACTGTTGGAAATCCGTTGGAAGTGGGCAAGGGGCAATTTAATCTGATTAAAATCCGATGTATGTACAAGCTCCAATTTTGTATGCATATGATTACAATTTCCATATTTCGTTTTTGGAATTTATGTCAATCTTTTTTTGCGACAGGGATAAGATACTAGATAAAAAAACGGCACTTAAAACAAAAAAATAATCATAAATGAACAGAAATAACAATAAAAATATGGGAAAAAACACAGCAACAAAACATATCAGTATAAACTGCATGAACTATAACTTAAAGAAAGAAAAAAAATACTTTTAAAAATAAACTAAATTACTAATTAAATATTCTCAAATGAAACTCCTAGCTACCATTAATTGAATAACCAAGCACCCTACTATAACGAGGGAACAACACGTTGGGGCATTTGATACTCAGTATAGAGTTCACTTAAGTGCGCGTGGCTGATTTGACCTCAGGTCACTTACGGAGTGTAACTTATCTTCTACACTGTAACCGACATGTATACCTGTTTACAAGTTTCCTTAATATGCAAATTAGAACGTGTTTACCGAGGTCACTGCCATTATTATTGCATTCAAATGTTGTCTTGACAGGGTCATGATCTAAGACGACCCCGCGCCCAATAAATATATTTACAAATCTCGAATATTGCGATCAAATAAAAAATTATCGTATATTAAGTGTTATATTTAAAAATAAGTACACATTTTGTGGCGCGAAAACAAGAACAGACAACACGACTCAACAGGTGGTTGTTAAATAAACGTTCTTTGATTTGATTTGGTGTATGATGTTACATGTTCAATAAAATAAACATCTTCTGTAAAACAAACGAACATTTCTGGAACAATAATATTTAATTTGTAAAACAGAAGCAATATGAATTTTGAGTCAAATTACTTGACCTCTTAGATGCAATCAACAATGGCGCGTTGCTAACGCTCTCCTCGCTGGAGTGGCGTTTGTTAAATCAGCCTTAGGAATGTGAAAACTATGCGAGACAAGCATATTTAAAAGAGTCGCTCATGAAGCGTACTTTGTGGCTTTGTTACATTATACGAGTGTTCATTCATGGCAGGTTTTTTTACGGCGTCATGATAGAGTGAGATAGAAACGCTCGTGTCGATGCCTAGACACGAACTCCACAAAGAAGAGAACTATACAACATACCAAAAGCTTGCATGCAATACGAAGATAGCGTTTTCAAATTGCAAATTGATCGATTAGAAAATGATTTGGGTAATTCGGAGCAATGTCGACGCAAATTATTCTGAAACATAATGTATAATTTAAAGACTATCATCTGTTTATCCACCCATCAAAACTTTATGATAAATCATTGGCATTTTATAATATTTACTGAAACACAATTTTTTTTGGAGGTACGATGTCGCACTGTTAGAACTTCAGATTGGCGTAGGTTACTGATGTGATATCGTAACATTATTGTTACCGTTACCGTACAGAGACATGTGTAGTATGTGACCTCTTCGGTGTTTAGGGTAAACATTTGTTTCATGATTGCAGCTAAACTTGACACCCGCAAATGGATGTGTCCTTCATTTACCTTCAAGTACCACAATGCATTTATTTATACACGTTTTAATCAATGCGAAAATTTACGTAGACGAATTCCATTGTTTAGCCATCGTTTTGAATTAATTATTTCAACCTTTAATGTGGTTTTAATTGCTCTGTTTACTGGTGACTGAATTCGATGTAGTCAAGGCGATCAAAAAGACTTCAACACGAATCACGGCCGACAAAAACTACCGTTGGTATGAACCCTGAAGTACAACTGGTAATTCATCTTCGAAATGAAAACATTTTTGCTCTCACCGGACAACGCCCTTTACCAGGGGACGCTGATTAATATTCATATATTCAACCAATGAAATCAGCCCAGTAGTGCGCGAAATAAGAGAAAAACACCTAGTGGACATGAACTACACTGCTCCCAATTGACCTTTGCTTTGTGAAGCTAATATGTACAAGAAAACCATTGAGCTCAGCCGAGGAAAGGTGATAGAGAAATAATTTGGTCATATTGATCGAAATCCGAAACTTCCCAACTCACAGTCTCTTCGCGATCTGTTGTCTGTGTGACTGGGATGGGCACGCTGCTTACGTTTCGTTGCATCATTTGATGCGATATGACATATGCCGAATTTCCGAATAGCAAATCAGTGTGATTCGCAAAATCCGATATCAAGACATGGAAACCAACGCTGGCCAGTGAGAAAGCACGATTCTCGCCAGGATACGGTTCAATACCTGTGTCCCTGACTTCTTTTCATAAAATGAAATACCGTAACGAGAATGGATGATAAATGGTTTTTAAAATGACGCTGTTAGAGTGGGCTTCGGGACTCGCTGTCTATTTTTAAAAATATGTTACCCAAAGTAAAGTTTGGTCACGTAGAACGTTTTTAACATGCGAATCTCGAGATGGTAATTGAAATCCCCGCAAGTGTCAAAGTTGAACATTTTAAAACGAGGAAACATTTGAACAACAAATGATGTAAATCGAGACAATTTACCCGATACAAAAAATTCAACAATACTACTAATGGGTTTCTCATAGGTGACAATGCAAACGACACAAATCATTGGTTGAGCCCAACCGCCGGTAGCTAGTAATCGACTGACCATCCAAACTTCGTGTGCTCCGTATACAACGAAATCTGTCAAAACAGTTATAGTGAAAATAGGCCACAGTCGAACTGAATAACACAAGCTGGTCACATGTTGGCCGTAATTAATACATCTGACCTGCACCAATGGAGACATTCGGATAACACTTCGCCCAACGAGTAAAGGGATAACGAACAAACACAATTTATTACTGGTGGTATTGTTTCAGTGGTTTTACAACTTGAAGAAAGGGAGGGGTAGGGTTGGATGGGGTCACAGAGTTTTACTACACCGGCTTCAGTTTTGTGGCGAACAGGGCTTTTGTATTCTGCGCATGTGTTATTTATTGGGGAGAGGAGGAGGAGGAGGAGGGGTAAGAAAATCTATTAACTGACCCATGAACGACTGGATATAAAATAAAGTTCCCTCTTATCACGAAATCGTAGTAACGTAGCAACCAGACCCAAAACTCGGCAACAAATCACCGTAGCCTGAACCGAAACGAAAAACAACTCTTCACGCAGCGGGTGGGTACTTGGACGCACCTCCGTGGTGAGCGAAACGTGTCCACTAAAAACGAACACTGTTCCCAGCATGCAACGCAACGCTGGAAGGCATATATTTGCATCAAATGACATGTAATCCTTTATATCTGATCCATTATATCTGTGTTCTTATCTATATTAATCGGTAGGAGTAAAGCCTAACTGGGTACTGGATTACCATGATCCACCCTAGTCTCAAACACTGGTACTAGTAGCTTATGTTTTTACTTACCCATATTACCACCTTGTGCTTCTGGTAGAAAGACTTCTCCTTGGTCTGCGGGTGATAACAATATAAAACATAATGATAAGCACGGTGAAATAAGCAATGTTTCCACACGGGACCTGTCGCGTAGTGATATGCTGGGTGATACGTAAAGTAGTTAAAGGGCGGTGGTCGTTGATTTTCCCATAATCCAATCACGACTACGAGTTTTGGACTGGGCGCGACGTGCACTAATTACCACAGGTGACCCCTTCGATACCTTCTAATCACCAAAGCAATTACATAGTTAAAGCATGGTAACGTCTCAATTTATACTCGTTGGTCCACGCGACAGCTAAAGTCGGCATCTTTGTTCATATGAGACCCATTTCTTGCGCATGCGTGGCGCGACGACCAACACTCTTTAAAGTTCATCAGTCAATACCCCCAAAAAACATGAGTTGAAGTATATATAAAAAGAAACTATCATCGGTTGACACGCTGCTCTCTGATTGGTCAGACTATTAGATGTTAGGATTAGGTATATACTAGTAGTCCGATACTATCTGTTACGTCACGGTAGCCTCGGATCGACTCCAAGCAACTTGTCAAACTCAAGCTAAACTATTATAACAACTCGGATAAGTGTTTTCTCATATCGACAACTTTATTTACGCAAAGTAGTGATTAGCACATATGCGTATATTTTAAAGCGGATTGGTTGATCGTCAGTCTAATACAGAAACATTGTCTAAAAACGTGTTATTATGCAAAGTATTATTTAGCATATATGCGTATATTTTAAAGTGGATTGGTTGATCGTCAATCTAATATTAATACAGAAACATTATCTAAAAACGTGTTATTATGCAAAGTATTAATTATCGTAAATGCGTATATTTTAAAGCGGATTGGTTGATCGTCAGTCTATTGCAGAAACATTGCAGAAACGTGTTAATTTCGTTCGATTAGCACATGATGTTCTCGCCCAGACCTTGACCTTTGTAGATTAAAACCAACCTCTTTTGATAACAGCTATGTTTTATGTAGTAATATGCACTTATCTGATCGGAGACCTTTCCTTAGCTCAATATCGTAAGAATTGGTATCACTCGTAAAAGTGAAAAGTTTCAAAATACTTAGCATATTTTGTCACATTTTTACTTAAACTCATTCTGAACCCTGTAATTTGAACTCCCAGAATGCAATTCATACAGTCACACCCATAATGCAATGCATTCCCCCATTCCGCGTGCGTAATACTCTCTCCATGGTAGCAATGGCAACGGGGTGGGTAACACATAGAAACTGCTCAGTGTGGTCACGTGATTTCACTGAAACCGAGTAGGTGATATAGATCGTAGTTTGTAGGTCAAAACAGTTCTGTGACTCGCACCGTCACACGTTTGGATTCACCGTGAAGCTGAGAACCTATTCTTAGCTCCTTGGTTTAATTGAAACTGACGTATTTAGAGTTGCCCGTACATACTGCTGCCTTCACAACGTATTAGTCGAGTCTGAAACGTAATTGCCTCGCGACAAAATTAGCGCAAACTGACCAGCATGTTTAGACACAATAAATTGACTATTTTTATGTACATTTCAGGGTCACGTGACTGCCAACTCGTCTAATTAATGACTGACAACGTCCAATTGTTATGGTAAGATATATTGCAGTCCCTCTCTTTTCATTCACACTGCGCTGGGTTGAAATTGCACGTAGTTCGGAACCAATAAATCATCTACCACGCCTTTGTGAAAGCAACGCGGCGACGGAGCAGATGTTTCCAAATAGTCGGCATCATTTTCGCTGAATACCAGTTGGTAGCTGCCGACACTTCACTTCAGATCGTGTTTAATCGGTTGCTCGTTGAATGGCGACCCAATGTCGAAAGTAAATAGTTGTCGTTTATCGATCCCAATTTGAATTTTGAATATCATTATTTTAACGTTTTCCTTCACCGCACCTGGACAAATCAGATCGAGGGCGTTATTGTTGGCGGTGGATTCATCACGAAAGAGAGTTTTCCCAAGCCCGAGAATTTTGGTCGACGCTACCCCCTACCATATCTCCGCGCAGAATGTTTTGACTTTCCTCCTAAATTTAAATCATACATGTATGTTTTAATTATTCATTCTAACTAACGAGTTTAAAATTCTATGGTGTTGGCAGTCGTTTTGATCTAAAAGTGGAACTCAGTTCGGCTTCCTAATACTGTAAAAGGATTAATTATTCACTGGGTTTTAATTTTGCTTATTTCGCTGACTGGAAAATGCGTTAAATTAAAACCCAGTGAATATGTAAAATTTAGCATAGAACACATTATCTAAATGATAAAACAGTGAATTTAAAACCCACTGAGTATTCCTGAAATGGTAAATCAGCGAAATTTAAACCCAGTGAAAATTAGTCATTTTACAGTATCTTAAATACAGAGACAAATACCAATACGTTTAGGAAGCAAACATTAACTCCGTTCAAATCGACGACAGTTGAGTTTGCTTTATTCGAACGAACAGTAATTACTTATTATTACGACATCGTTGTTGGCAATTTAAGAGACCGCGTGTAATATGGAATGCCTGAAATGGAATGACGTGTATCAGATTGCGACACCAACTCAATAACGGACGTATTAAACTACTAGATATAATTGCGGTACGAAGCACCGAATCGGGGGAGGGGAGGTTCCGCTTGCAGAAACTAGGACGGTTCACACTACATGAGTGTGTCGCAAAGAGTGTGAACAAAGCGCATACCAGACAGGACGCCGATTCATTACGAAGATTATCACCCTATTTTGCAAAAGCTAAATATAATCAAAGTTCGAATTCTCTGTTAGGAAGAGTTCATACAAACACTCATTATATCGTCGTCTGATTGAGCCCGTTGGTAGGCGTTTTACTCGATCGATACGATTGTCGCAAATAAAGAAGGAGAGAATATAATAGGGGAAAGCAGAATATATTTTTACGCTGAGTGTATTTACTCCTGGCTAGTACTAGTAAACAATCACCAATCTGTTTACGCTATTCATTTTTAAAGACAGTCTTTTGTTTTATAAAAAAAACAACACTTAAGTCTTAATGCAGTTTAAGAAGCCGTTTTTTTCTGTTTTAAGACAACATCGGACGAATTGTCTTTACACATTAAAGTGTCAATGCTACATTCGCAGTTTATACAAATACCACACAAAAGACCCCGTCGGACCGACACGCCTTAGAAGAAAGAAACATACGCAAATACATTCACAAATTTGAATCTTGAAGAATGCGACAAGGGACTGACCATTGATAAATTTGTCGTTAGATGGGTTGTATAACGGCGGTGCTTGACAAGAATGGAGCTCGTGTGTAGATGTGCTTCTAGAGGTGTCGCGTTACTGAAGTTTAACTTAATGTTATTTACTTATCTGCAGATAATTTAGTATTTTAGAAAGCATAATCGGTTTATGATTTGCCCACCCCAATATTAATTTGTATGTCCCTTACAACGGATAAGCAATAATGTAGAGTGACAGTGATTAATACCTCCCACATAATTTATAGGTAGCATTTCAATATTAAACAACCGCCACTGAAATATCCACTGGCACCGAATCCAGCGTCTTGCTATTCAGGTGGTATCTTTGATTTGTTCGGTAGCTGACAAAATCGACAGTGCAAAATGATTAAGAAACACACTCACCGGTCTTGCTGTATTCGAAGCGGTGACATCATCCTTCTTCCCCATTTCCATCTTCACATCATCTATGTCAGCCTAAGGGGAAATAGATATTGCACAATTAAGCGTAATCTATTTCTCATCTAGCATCTTTAATTTTTCACAGAGCCCGTGCGTTTTACATTTAGCCTTGACCGAGAGGACGATCTCAATGCACAACTCACAATGCCGTGCGGACAATGGTAGTCATTATGAGTGTCCCTGAAATCGAGATTATTTTTTTTTTTTGAGCATCGCACAAAATCACAATATTGGCCGTATCCGTTTAAATGCACAGGTACGGCTGGAGTCGGTCGTGTTGTAACGAGTGCATCATAGAAATAGGAGGCATGACAGGAGGGGCTTAGCGAAAGTGGTTGAACGTTGACTGATTGCGTAGTATGTATATCGCAACGGATGGTACGAGCATTGATGTTATTTTTATATCCTTTCACTCAGTCTACAGACGTTTTGAAAAAAATGAAAGTACATGCACTCACCATTTTCTAGCGTTCTGGCTATTTCTGCCGAAGAACGCTCAGGTAACAGCTATATGAAGCGACGGGGAGTGTACTCACGGCTGGACGGTCCAACTGGCACAGTCAATTTAAATGAAAACCCACGCCTGCATATATGTTTACTTGATCAGCACAAATGCTTTGAATTTGCATCGAACAATAACGCTACAATCATCAACAACAGAAAGTGCATGACGGGTAAAATAAGCGGTTACAGGTCATTCGTTCCGACTCGACGATTTCCTAAGCTGTTTACGAGTGACTTTGGTTGTTGCAAGCGAAGATTATACTACACTATTTTAGTCGAGGGCTTTAAATTTACAACCTCAGGTTTAACACTACACACTAACAGGACGCCATTATTTCGTGACTGGCTTGTATGGAACACACTTGCTACTAAACACGGTGTTCCCATTAACTCGGTTACTGGAGTACGGGGACGGACGTTTCAAGTGAAACCAGACACTCGTGGGGCGTGCACTTCGTTGATTATAACAGTATTCATTACAATATGCGCTACAAAAAATAATGTATTTGTTCAATTTGTTTTTTGTATTGGGGTAACGGGCAATAAAAGCTAATTTAAAATTATTATAAATTATGCATTTTATCATCAGACACACTAACATTTTTTCATCAGGTTCCAAATAGATAATCAATATAATATATCATGTTATTGATGTAAGCGTTGTATGAAACCAAATAGATGTAACTGTTTGTTTTTTTACATTAAGATGACGTAACTATTTTGTTGTTAAAAACTTTAAAGAAAAATATCGAAATTCCTAGCAAAATTCATATTTTGTGTATTAATCTAATTAATATATATTTCATTTCAGAATATGGTACGTTTCCTGGTGATCGCTAAGCCAACAGGTGTCCGTAGTGAGTACGACCATCACACCAGTTTATTAGGCGAGCTTAGATCATTGCACATTCAGTTGATACGCCCTCTCTCGGGAAAGTTTATGATTGCTAAGCGGAAAAATAGTGCAATATTTCGGTATTCGGCAGTGTTGTGCACGCAACGTGAAATACAATCACGCTAACAGCGAAGAACATTATTATTCAGTTGTAGTTGAAACTAATTCATTCGTTTTTTTAAAAGGATTCAGAATTTACCATTTTCCGTTCACTGCAAGAATCACGCGTTATGCGTGAAATCGAACGTAAAAACAGGACAAACAAAGGTCATAGCGTCGTAGTGGCGTCAAACATCGCGTGGGATTCAATAAACGCGAAAGTATTTCGGGGACATTTCCATGCTTAATAATGTGCTGTCCACATTTGATGATAGGCAATTTCGATTAAGTAAGGGTATTCGGAAGCAATATTCCTCTGTCGAAGATCGGCCGGTCGATGTGAGCTACGAAATAAGAAAATTCTAGTTCAAAATCAAATCGTTCGATTTTTGCGCAGACGTTCGACGCGCGTCTTTCATGCATCTCGCGAGATCTCGCAGTTGTATGGAAAATCACCTATTAGTTTCAACTACAACTGAATAATAATGTTATAATAATGTTCTTCGCTGTTAGCGTGATTGTATTTCACGTTGCGTGCACAACACTGCCGAATACCGAAATATTGCACTATTTTTCCGCTTAGCAATCATAAATTTTCCCGAGAGAGGGCGTATCACCTGAATGTGCAATGATCTAAGCTCGCCTAATAAACTGGTGTGATGGTCGTACTCACTACGGACACCTGTTGGCTTGGCGATCACCAGGAAACGTACCATATTCTGAAATGAAATATATATTAATTAGACTAATACACAAAATATGAATTTTGCTAGGAATTTCGATATTTTTCTTTAAAGTTTTTAACAACAAAATAGTTACGTCATCTTAATGTAAAAAAAAAAAACAGTTACATCTAATTGGTTTCATACAACGCATGCATCAATAACATGATGAAAAAATGTTAGTGTGTAAGTCTCATGATAAAACGCATAATTTATAATAATTTTAAATTAGCTTTTATTGCCCGTTACCCCAATACAAAAAACAAATTGAACAAATACATTATTTTTTGTAGCGCATATTGTAATGAATACTGTTATAATCAACGAAGTGCACGCCCCACGAGTGTCTGGTTTCACTTGAAACGTCCGTCCC